AAAGAAATAAAAAAATCAAGTCACAAAAGTGTAAAGTATTTATATAAAGGTGATAAAGAGGCAAAGTTATAAAATACACTCTTTGGCGATACATATGTGGAAAAATTATAAAGAACACAAAGGAGATTAACTAACTCCATTGCCGTCGAGTTGATTCTGACACCAAATTCAGGATAAAGGTTACCTCTGGGATGGGGATAAGGAGAGAGACTTCAAAGGCACCATTAAGACTCTATTTCTTCAGATAGGGTGTGGATAAGCAGGTGTTTCTTTTGTTATGATTCTTTACACTGTACATATATGGTATATGTACTCTTTTTTTTTTTTTTTTAAAGAAAAGGTTCTGAAAGTTAAAATACTAAGGCATTAAATAGTTGGATGACTTTTGTGGGATTTTTTGGGGGAAGAGAGATTATTTGTATTTTTAGATATTTCTACAATGAGCTTTTAAAATAAGAAAGGTCATAAAAGTAACTTATTTTTTAAAATCTTTAAATGAATAAAAAACACTTCAGTTCTACATTGGAGCCCTGACGGCCCAGTGATTAAGAGCCTGGCTGCTAAAAAGGTCAGCAGTTCAAATCTATCAGCCTCTCGTTGGAAACCATGAGGCAGATTTATTCTGTCCCATAGGGTCACTATGAGTCAGACTCAACTCGACAGCAAGGAGTTCAGTTTGGTTTTTGGTAATTCTACATTGAGAATAATAAAATATTTGATAAAGAATGCATACATTTGTGCTAGGTATATCTCTGGGGCACATATATTGATTGTTTTTTGAAAAACTTCATGGCAGTCTAATTTATTTTAATTAAATAACATTTTAACTATATTGGGGGTTGGTTATTGAATGGGAGCTTGTGAAGAATTTATGGTAATTTATGGTAACTTTATCAGAAAATTAATATATCTTTTTGTAAATATCCCTATTCAAAATCAAATTTAATATTGAGAATATACATTTTAATATATCAGATAATTTTTGGGGAAGGCATACTAGTATATATCTAGTCTTAAGGCAAGGAATTTGGCAAGACTGGGCAAATAACTAATTCACACTA